TCTTCTAAACTCTCCACACTTAACTGACAATTACCTTTTAAAATTTATACACATTAAGATTAAAATTGGGCCTCTACTGTGACAATTCCTATTTCCTCTTGTATTTTAAGTGCAAACTAACATGTACCTGAATGTTAGTATCAAGTAGTGCAGACAAAATTTGTTATGATCTTACCAGTTTTGAATCAGAATTGCACCATTTCATAGATAAAGGAAACTAAGGATATTACTGCACTTTTAAGTTTCAAAACTGTGTTTAAAAACTGTATTATTTTTATTTTTTTAAAAAACTCAGTTAAAGAAGACCAAAACGTTCTTTCAGAAGAGGCATCTACGGCCATGCCTATGGCTCAAAAAGTAGGGCGCCAGTCCCACATACCAGAGGTGGTGGGTTCAAACCCAGCCCGGACCAAAAACTGCAAAAAAAAAAAAAAGAGGCATCTAAATGTGTTCCTAATTTTGTATATGAACTTAGGTTTTGTAACCAATAAAAACAGCTACTACTGGCTCGGTGCCTGTGACTCAAGCGGCTAAGGCGCCAGCTACATACTGCTGAGCTGGTGGGTTGGTATCCAGCCCAGGCCTGCCAAACAACAATGCAACTAAAAAATAGCCAGGCATTGTGGCGGGTGCCTATAGTCCCAGCTACTTGGGAGGCAGAGGCAGGAGAATCGCCTAAGCCCAGGAGTTGAAGGTTGCTGGGAGCTGTGATGCCACAGCATTCTACCCAGGGTAACAGCTTGAGGCTCTGTCTCAAAAACAAAAATACCAACAAAACAACAACACTGGAATGATAAAATAAATGTACTGACATACCCAGGAAGGATCAAATGCATGTCCTAAGAATTTCCTACTGCTATGTTATTCATTATATGAATAACAATTTACTTGCCCACCCTGATTCTTTTACACTGACCATTATTCTCACCCAATTACAGGACTCTCTAACTGCCTTTGAGTTATGTACAGCCCCTGAAAAGATACAAAGTGTTCCCTGCCTTTTCCTATTTGGGTTACCTCATTGAGAATCATCAGATATACCCTCAAAAACTCCAAATTTGTAATGATAAATTAACTACCCTGAATGACTTTCAACAGTTAATGGGAGATATTAATTGGCTCTGTTCCTCATAAAAACTTAGTACAGGAGAGTGGCGCCTGTAGCTCAAAGGAGTAGGGCAATGGCGCCAGTCCCACATACCAGAGGTGGTGGGTTCAAACCCAGCCTTGGCCAAAAACTGCAAAAAAAAAAAAAAAAGAAAAAAAACACCCCCCAAAAAACTTACTATAGGAGACTGTGGCTTACTATAGGTTGCTGTGAGCTATGTGACACCACGGCACTCTATTGAGGGTGATAAAGTGAGACTCTGTCTCTACAAAAAAAAAAGAAAGAATAAGGATCTGAAAAATATTAAACTAAATAATTTATACTGTCACAGACATTCTTTATTGACATTCTTTTTTTTTTTTTTTTGAGACGGAGCCTCAAGCTATCCCCCTGGGTAGAGTGCCATGGCATCACGCTCACAGCAACCTCCAACTCCTGGGCTCAAGCGAGTCTCCTGCCTCAGCCTCCCAAGTAGCTGGGACCACAGGCGCCACAATGCCGGGCCATTTTTTGGTTGCAGCCATCATTGTTGTTTGGCGGGCCGGGCTGGGGATTCGAACCCGCCACCTTAGGTACATGTGGCTGGCGCCTTAGCTGCTTGAGCCACAGGCACCGAGCCCCTTTTTGACATTCTTAAAGGACCAGCTAACCCTTCCATTTCTCGTTCTTTAACACTGGGTGTAATAGAAGCTCTAACCACAGCCACCCATGCTTTAGAAATGACAAAGCTTACTTGCATTGACCCTAATTGTCCTGCTTTTCTGCTACTTTTTCCTACTTCTCATATGCCTACTGCTTTATTATCATAACCTCCTGGTCCTTTTAAAATGGATGCATTTGAGCAAAACATCAAAACGAGTTTTAACTCCGTATTAAGAAATGGTGACCACCCTTATTCTCAAAAGATGGCACTGCCTCTGGCAACTTATAAGAAATAATCCCAATTTCTTTTTTTTTTTTTTTTTTTGTGACAGAGCCTCAAGCTATCCCCCTGGGTAGAGTGCCATGGTTTCACAGCTCACAACAACCTCCAACTCCTGGGCTGAAGTGAGTCTCCTGCCTCTGCCTCCCAAGTAGCTGGGACCACAGGCGCCCGCCATAACGCCCAACTATTTTTTGGTTGCAGCCATCATTGTTGTTTGGTGGGTCTGGGCTGGATTCGAACCTGCCACCTTAGGTGTGTATGGCTGGCACCTTAGCCACTTGAGCCATAGGCGCCGAGCCATGATCCCAATTTCATTTTGGTTAATCTCCACACTCTTAAACTTCAACTTAGTAAGTTAAAGAAGAGATAGTGACATAGTGAAAATGTCTCAAAAAAAAAAGGAAAATATTCTCACTTGCTTTCCTTACTGATATGCAAAATTATTAATATAAACAAACTTGTTTAGGTACTATATAAATAAAGCTGTTCAAATGATGGGTGCTGGCTGCAGTCATCAGCTGCACCAGACCTCCCCACCTATCTCTTTATCTTTTGTGTAATCTATGTCTCTTGTGAGTTATTTTCTTAATTCCCCACCATTCACCGTCTGGTTCATTTACTCTTCATGCAGGTTCACGAAACATCTTACTACAGCTAACTTCTGTTCCCAAAAGACTGAGTTCAGGGCTAGTCTTTCAGCCTACCGTAGCTTCACTGCTAATCAATCTGCTATAGGATCCAATAGTGACTGCACATCTCAATAGCAGCAAACCTCACAGTTCACCCAAATTCTGATGCCAGACAATATCACGTAGTTTAGGCCTTTTGCTGCTGGGGAACAGCAGTGCTGCCATATGAGGACAGCATAGTTTTGATATACTTTGCCCATCAGCTATGAAACTATAAGAAGCTTTACTAATTGTTTTTAACTTGGGGGGAGGCATGAAGTAGAGATGCTATTTTAAATATTTTTACATCATAGCATCTGACATTTATTTGAGTCATTATTTTAACTTACAAATAAAAGACATAAAGTACTAGGACTATTTTCCTTTGTTTTTCGTAACAGGTAGTCAAAGAGTAAATGTAAATTTAATTAATTACCCCAAATAAAAATATCTCCCATTTAAAAATATGGAGACAGCCCTAAGAAACTGAAAATGGAAAATTAAAAATTAAAACAGAAATATTGTCAGTCATGGAAAGAAATAAAATACTGGCTCAGCATCCATGGCTCAAGTGGCTAAGGCGCCAGCCATACACACCTAAGGTGGCAGGTTCAAATCCAGCCTGGGGCCCACCAAATAACAATGACAGCTGCAACCAAAAAATAGCCGGGCGTTGTGGCAGGCACCTGTGGTCCCAGCTACTTGGGAGGCTGAGGCAGGAGACTCGCTTGAGCCCAGGAGTTGGAGGTTGCTGTGAGCTGTGATGCCACGGCAGTCTACCCAGGGGGACAGCTTGAGGCTCTGTCTCAAAAATAAATAAATAAATAAAATATTGATGTACTCTATTAACATGGATGGCCCTTGAGAATGCTCCACTAAGTGAAAAAAGCCAGCCATAAAAGGCCACAAATTATGCAATTCCATTTATATGAAATGTTCAGGATAGGCAATCCACAGAGACAGGAAGCATTTTAGTGGTTGCCTGAGAGAGATGGAGACAGCAAGTGACTACTATTAATGGGTATAGGATTTCTTTGTGGTGATGAAAATGTTCTATACACTAAAAACCAATGAACTGTGAACTTTAAGAAGTAAACTTTGTCATATGTGTATATCATCTCAATAAAGCTCTTCTAAAAAAAATACTAAGTGGCTGCCTCTGCTGAGGAGGCCAGGGAGAAAGAAAGGAGGGAGAGGATATCTCTCCCATACCAACTCCACTGTCTTCTTTCTCTTGGGAGCCACCCTATGCCCTCACAGCTACAAAACCCCCTTCTTTGATTACCTTAGAGCTGTCTGACCTTGTTCTCCTACCCAGCTCCCAGCCTATGGTCAGACTGAAGTTTGAAATGCCAGCCTGCTTCCCACAGCCTCCTTCCCACACCCATCATGGGAATCTTACCAGCCACATTCTGGACCCTGGTGCCTCCTGTTCCCAACACTTCTGAGGCTCCTTATTACCACCAGGATGGAGAACAAACTCTGCAGCAGGCATTCAGGGCTCAGCTGGATTCGTCCTGGCCTCTCCAGCCTAAAATCTAACTGGGGTCAGTCTTCAACCAAACACGATGTGTCACCTACCCTCCCACCAAACACACACCTGTGGTGCTGCATGAGGCCAGACTCCTGTTCACAAGGCTGTGTCCATCTGGCTGATACATTCCCTTCACCTCTGGCCCAGGTCTCCCAGGCAACCTCCCCCTCCATAGCATAAGGATCCCAGCAGCTCTGTAGCCCTACTAACTTCTGTGCAGATTCCATCCCATCTCACAAAACATGAGTTGGCCTGAGCTCCTCCCAGGCTTGGGGCCTCCCTACAAATCTCAGGCTTCTCACCCGCCTGCACTGCATGTGTAGCCCCAGGCTGTGAGGCATCATTAGCTCAGTGAATAACCCTATAAAGGGGTCTGGGAATTCCTCAGAGTGCTAGCTCACACCTCTGTTCCCCTCACAGCAAGCACAGAGCTCACTGCACAGCAACAGCCAAAATCAGGCATTGAATGAGCAGAGGTGGGAAGAGGAAAGAAGGCTGTCCCCCATCAACCACAACAACCTGGGACATAGGGCTCAGTACTATGGAGATGATGATTCACAGTTTGCCTCCAAGTGAAGAAACATTGCCTGAATTCTCCTTATCTGCATTCAGGAAGCACTAACTTTCTGTTCATTCTCTCTCTACCCAAATTCTAGGTGTTATAAACTGAGGGACCACATATACATGGATGGGCAGGGGTAACCTGGACACTTATCCTTTGGGTACAGGGCAGCCCTTCAGGAGTAAGTGGAAGCCCCATCTCACCTGGACCTGGGCTGTTGGGAGCCTGATGGCCCTCCTCCCCTCCTCAGGGCTTCCCTCCACTTGCCAGGCAGGGTCCTGAGGACATAGAACTGGAGAAGGAAAAAGAAGTCATGGAGGCAGCTCTCCCTGCCAGATGCTTGCCAACATAAGCCTTTCCTCCTGGGGGGCTGAGGAGGGCCAGTCTCTATGATACCCCTTGGACATCCTCATTTTTAAGACTAAAAAACCAGGGCTCAGAGAAGGTTAGGAAAGTGCCTGAACAAGTGAGTATTTCGCTGACTTCTATGCTATGAGGCACCATCCCTGAGTAGTAGTATCTGTTCACAGCCTTTCTGGGCCTGAACCCTAAATGGCCACACGTTAGTTCTCATGCATCCTATCCTTAAGATAGAATATCACCTCATCTCCAAGCAGAGTTTTCCATTCCTTACTTGTTCCAACTCTGCACAGAGACAGATCTGGACCACAAACCCCCCTTCCCTAAAGTCCCACACCTGGTCCCCAGTTCTGATCCTCAGCTATGGCAGATGACTACAGGGAGAGGTCACAACATGGAAGCCAAAGTGCCCTGACAAGAACACAGTCTCTTGACTCACCCCAGGAGGTCCATGGGTCAATAGCTGCCATCCTCCAAGACTGGTCTGTAAAAGCACCTGCAAAGAAGGATCAAGTTAGGACTGTGATGCCAAACCTGGTGATTAAAGCAGATAAAATGGAAAAAGAAGACTGTCTCACTAGTAGGCATGACAAAATTCCATAAATAGAACCCAAAGGCATGTGAAAAGAAAAAATCCAACAAAAGTTGGATTCATACAGAAATGCACAAGTGGGTTACTATTAGTAAATTTATTAATATAATGTAGCCACAACACAATTTAAAACTGAACACTTTAAGTGACTGAACAGGTATCTGATAAAATAAAATAAATCTAATTTTTTTTGAGACAGTCTCACTTTATCACCCTTGATAGAGCGCCGTGGCATCATAGCTCACAGCAACCTCAAACTCTTAGGCTTAAGCGATTCTCTTGCTCCAAGGTAGCTGGGACTGCAGGTGCCTGTCACAACACTCAGCTATTTTTAGAGATGATGTCTGACTCTGGCTCAGGCTGGTCTTGGAACTCATGAGCTCAGGCAATCCACATGCCTTGGCCTCCCAGATTACTAGGATTATAGGCATGAGCCACCACGGTCTGGCATGATCTAATTTTTTTTAAATGATAGTAGTAAAAGGATACTCAGTAAATAAAATATCACTTAAAGCACACCATTGACATCACACTATTACTCAACATTGTTTCCAAATTACAGACCAATGCAATAAGTGATAAACACTAATAAAGGTAAAAAAACAAAAAACAAAAAAAAATGGGAGCATAAGAGAGCACACTGTATATATGGCTGTTTTCTAAGAAACCCCCACAAATCACCAGAAAATCTCTTAAAGCTAATGACACTTCTCAGGAGACAACTATAAAACACAGTAGAAACGCCATAATTGATTCCTCCCTACATTGACACCTCCTTAAATTGACCTCATTTTCAAAAACCAGTCATGCAACACATGGATATATCAGAAGACCTAGTTCTTTATGTGAACCACCTCTCTATGCCGACCAGTTTGTTACAGTCCTTTGAGTGGTCAGCTTACAGAGATTCTACTGTATGTGAAAGTTACACTTTCCCACTAGGGAAGCTGAGGTGGGTGGACTGCCTGAGCTCATGAGTTGGAGACCAGCCTGAGCCACAGCCAGACTTTGTCTTTAAAAATAGCCAGGTGCTGTGGTGGGCTGGGCACCTGTGGTCCCAGCTACTTGGGAGGCTGAGGCAAGAGAACCACTGGAGTCCAGGAGTTTGAGGTTGCTCTGAGCTATCATACCACGGCACTCTACCAAGGGCAGCAAGTAAGACTCTGTCTAGAAAAAAAGATAGTTATATTTTCCTTTATGACAACAGTTTTCCTCCTTTATCACCAACCAGTCCTAATTCTCAACCAGCTCTAAGTCTATACCAAGACAAACAAACCCCCTTTCATCCCTCAAAGTCCCCAGCCCCCTCTCCCCCAGCTCTGACATACTGCCCTGCTATAACAGGTTAACAGCTAGGTGAGGCTCTGAAGAAATAGGATTTGGACGCACCCCAGGAGGCCCATGGGTTGATGGCTGCCATCCCAAAGGACTGATCAACCAGGTGCCAGACCAGGAGCACTGCAATTCTCAACCTAGTGATAAAAGTATAAAAAGACAAAATTTTTTCTCAAGAAGATCCAGTGGGAACAAGGTAAGGAACTCATCTGCAGAAGCAACAAAAGACTCCTAAAGAGCATTAAAAGAAAACAGAATTTAGAATACAATTTGAATGTTAAAAAATATGATAGAATTCCTGTAAAGAAATGAAGGACAATTTACATAAGGTGAAAAAAGGGCACCATCCTGGATGAGAGAGTAGAAATTTGTCAGCCATTCCCAAGAGACAGCCAGTCACAACAAATGGAACTTTTCAGTTAATATAGCCAAAAAACACTGTCAAATCTACCTGCAATCCTCATATATGTGGTATTAGTGGTTGTCTCAAATTGAGGAAAGAGGGAAATGAGGTGTGACTGCTTAATGGGTACAGGGGTTTCTTTGGGGGGGGTGATGAAACGCTCTAGTATTAGCGGTGATGAGTGTACAACTTTGTGAATATACAACAAAACCACTGAAATGCAGATTTAAAATGGTTAAATTAGTGAACATGATGTGTAAATTTTATTTCCGCCACTCCAAAATAATCCACTTACGGGGCCCAAGTTTGTCTGTCCCCTCCCGGTGTGGTGTGGAGGAGTCCGAGATGGGCCTGGGGCTCAGATCCCTAACTCCCCAGGTTGCAGGTCTTTGTACAAGTTCTTTTCCCTCGACCTCTCATTCCTACGTATGTGTATAAAACACTAAGACACCCGCGCTGGCCCTCATGAGGACTGGGATCTACACCAAAATTCAAAGCAGATAAACTGCTTTTCCACTGTTGTTTACAAATCGACAAAATGTTAAGGAACCTAGCTCGCGTTTGCTGTCCTTCACAACGCTTTAGGTAAATGGGCACGGATGAGAAACGCCAGCTGGGAAATGAAACGAGGTTATTATTCCCATTGCCGATCTGAGAAGCGTCCTCATCACCTGCTTCCCGCCTCCGGCTTCCCGCCCAGATTTCCTTCGACACCCCAGACACTGACGTGATGCTCCAGAAACTCGTCCCAGCAAGCAGGCGGCCTTACCTGGCTGGCGGCCCCCGGTGCCCCGATCCTTGGAAGACCACTTAGCAGGCTCGGGGGCTCTTCGCCGGGGACGTCTGGCTTTTATCCCGTGCCGAGGCCTGCTCCAGCTGTGCGCTTGTGAGCCCCACGCGCGGCTTCGAGGACAAAGGCGCGCCGGGCCCGGCCCGCAGGGCTCCCTGGGCCGAGGCCGCGCGCCCGGAGGCGGGAGGCTGGCGGACCGAGGGCAACGGGGTTGCGAAGCCGGCGCGGGAAGGGCAGGCGCAGGACCTGCCCTGGCGCCGCGCCGGCCCCGACCGCAGCGCCACCTCTCCACGCTGGCTCTCTCGACGTTCCAGCACCGCAGCTGCGACCGCTACAACGCGACCGCACAGCTGGCGGAAGGCCTTACCTCGGTCACGGACAATGGCTGCTGCTCCGCCGGCGTCAACTGGGACGCGCCGCGAGGACTGCTGGGAGCGGTAGCCCGCAGTTCACTTCCGGCGCTGGCCGCGGCACCGCCATGACGGGTCCGGCCTACTCCCGCCTGAGTGCCACCTCCGGGGCGTTGGAACCCGTCCGGGCGCAGGTGTTTGAAGCTGGGCCGGGGTGGGCGGTGCTGTCGCAGCGCCAGACCGCCCCCGCCGCGCCACTGCCGGCTTTGCGAGGGCCTGGGTAAGTCTCGGCTATCGAGCCTCAGTTTGCCGGTCGGTAAAATGGAGGCTCATGGTATCCGCGTTCGTCCCAGGGCGCGGATCTGAGCGCTCTCGAGGATCATTTCACTTAGCTTTCACAATATTGTGGAAAGCGGCTGCAATTTCGTGCAGTTGAAAAGCTTGATAATTTCCAGTTGACAGGCTGACTCTAAAATTTAGGTGAAAGTGCCAAGGATCTGAAATAGCCAAAAGGATTGATTATAAACAGTAAAGTCAGAGGTTGACTTTCACGACCCCATTTTAAGATTTTACTGTGTTCCGATTCTGGATGAACTGTGAAAAAAAAATTTATTCTGAAGCTACAAAATTAAGACTATATGATGTTGGCACAGGAATATAATATATGAATCAATGGAAGAGACAAAGGCTCCAATGCTACACAATGGAGAAAAGGAAAGTTTTCTTATGAAATGGCGCTGAACAACTGGATAACCATAAGAAAAAGCGAATACCTTGTTTACTACACATTTAGGTAAGATAAATTCAAGAGACCTTCACGTACAAGCAAAAATTTCAAAACTACTGGAGTAAAATGGGACAATATCTTTGTCATCTGAGCAGAGGTGAATATTTATATTTATTTAAAAAAAAATCTTAACCGTACTGAAAAATTGATAAAATCAGCCTTTGTAAATCGATGACCCAGCGATTCTACATCTAGATAATTACCCAAGGCCGGGTGCAGTGGCTCATTCATGTAATCGTAACATTCTGGGATGTGAGGCAGGAGGACCCGTTGAGCTCAGAAGTTCATGACCAGTCTGAGCAAGAGTTAGATCCTGTCTCCACTAAAAGTTGAAAAATTAGGGTGGCGCTGGAGCTCAGTGAGTAGGGCGCCAGCCACATACACCGAGGCTGGTGGGTTCCAACCCGGCCGTGGCCAGCTAAAACAACAATGACAAATCGCAACAAAAAAACTAGCTGGGCATTGTGGCAGGTACCTGTAGTCCCAGCTACTTGGGAGGCTGAGGCAAGATTATTGCTTAAGCCCAAGAGTTGGAGGTTGCTATTAGCTGTGATGCTAGGGTACTCTACCGAGGGCGACATAGTGAGACTCTGTCTCAAAAAATAAATAAATAAAAATTTTAAAAAATTACCCAGGTGTCTGGTGGGCACCTGTAGTCCCAGTTACTTCAAGAGGCTGAGGCAGGAGGATCACTTGAACCTGAACTTTGAAGTTGCTGTGAGCTAGGATGACTCCATAGCACTCTTGTCTGGGTTAACAGATTAAGACTCTGTCTCAAAAGAAAAAAAATAGATATTTAGGCCACTCCCATGGGGCGCTGGCCCCATATACCAGAGGTGGTGGGTTCAAACCCGACCCCAACCAAAAACTGCAAAACCCAAATGTTCATCATTGGGAGAATGAACAAACTATGGTTTATTAAAAAAATAAAGTTATTCAGCAGTAAAAACAGACAAATGATCATGGATGAATGTCAAAAATCTTCTGATGAGTCTTATTCAAAAGAATGTATAATTCAAAATCTCCTACCTTGCTCCTAGCTAGCACTAGAGATAAGGCCTTTGTGCAAGACTTAACAACTTTTGTGGAGGGCTATAATTCTAAAATCCGTCTCAGACACAGCATCTTTAACTCTGCAGAAACGATGACTTCCTTCACTTCTCATGCCCCCCCCCCCACATTCCAACTACACTAATAAAAATCTCTTAAAATAACTCAGCTGAGCTGACTTCTGGTCATACTCCATTCTGCTCCTTTAAACTAAAACCAATCCTTAATCCCTGGACTGGCCTCCTCTCCGTCTTTGGAACTCTGGCCAGACTCCATCCTTAAACCTCTCACCTCCACTGTTTCGTATCATTTATTTATTTATTTATTTATTTTTTTGAGACAGAGCCTCAAGCTGTTGCCCTGGGTAGAGTGCAATGGCATCACAGCTCACAGGAATCTCCCAACTCCTGGGCTCAAGCGAGTCTCCTGCCTCTGCCTCCCAAGTAGCTGGGACTATAGGCACCCGCCACAACACCCAGCTATTTTTTGGTTGCAGCCATCATTGTTGTTTGGCAGGCCTGGGCTGGATTTGAACCTGCCAGCTCAGGTGTATGTGGCTGGCACCTTAGCCGCTTGAGCCACCTGTGCCAAGCCTGTTTCGTATCATTTAAGAGCAAATCTCAGACCCTATACCATTTTGCCTACTATATTTAATTTCAAAAGATAGGGAGCATTTTCTAACATAACCATAATCCCATTATTAAAACTAGAAAAAAATTAATTCTTTTATATCACTGAATAGGCAGTATTGCAATTTGTAATTATCTCTTTTTTTTATTTTTGGAGACAGTCTCAAGCTGTTGCCTTGGGTAGAGTTCTGTGGCTTCACAGCTCACAGCAACCTCAAACTCTTGGGCTTAAGCAATTCTCTTGTGTCAGCCTCCCAAGAAGCTGGGACTACAGGCACCCACCACAAGGCCTGGCTATTTTTGTTGTTGTTGCAGTTGTCGTTGTTTTAGCTGGCCCAAGCTGGGTTTGAACCTGCTAGCTTTGGTGTATAAGGCCAGTGTCCTACCCACTGAGCTATGGGCACCACCTCAGTCATCTTATTAACAGTTTGATCTTTTTTAAAAAATGATATAACAAAATATACACTTTGTCATTGATGATCATTCTTCTTCTTCTTCAGACAGAGCCTCAAGCTGTCCCCCTGGATAGAGTGCTGTGGCAGGCATCACAGCTCACAGCAACCGCCAACTCCTGGGCTCAAGCGAGTCTCCTGCCTCACTTTCCCAAGTACAAGTACTACAGGCGCCTGCCACAACGCCCGGCTATTTTTTGGTTGCAGCTGTCATTGTTGTTTGGTGGGCCGGGCTGGATTCTAACCCGCCACCTTAGGTGTATGTGGCTGGCACCTTAGCCCCTTGAGCCACAGGTGCTGAGCCCTTTTTTTTTTTTCTTTTATGGAGATAGAGTCTTACTTTGTCACCCTCAGTAGAGTGCCATGGAATCACAGCTCACAGCAACTTTCAGCTCTTGGGCTTAGGTGATTCTCTTGCCTCAGCCTCCCAAGTATCTGGGACTACAGGTGCCGGCCATAACACCCAGCTATCTTTTTGTTGCAGTTTTGCTGGGGCCAGGTTTGAACCTACCACTCTCAGTATATGGGGCTGGCACCCTACTTACTGAGCCACAGGCGCCACCCTGATGATTCTTTTTTTACTAACAGCTATTCTGAGCTATTCTATGAAATTCCGTACTATACTATTCATCCATTTAACATGTACAATTAAATGGTTTTTAGTATATTGTCAAAATTGTGCAACAGTCACCAAAATTAATTTTAAAACTTTATCATTTAAAAAAAGTAGTGCTATACCAGTTAGCCATCACCCATGAACCCCCATGACCCTCTTCCTCAGCCCCAGACAACCATAATCTGTGTTGTAACTCTGTGGATTTTCCCATTCTGGATATTTCATATAGGTGGAATCTTACATTATGTGGTCTTTTATGTCTGTTTTTTTCATTCAACATTGTGCTTTCAAGGTTTGTGCATGGTGTGGCACCTGTCAATACTTTACTGCTTTTTATTGTCAAATAACATTCCATTGTATGCATATGCCACATTTTCTTTATCCATTCTTCAGTTGATAGCTATTCAGTTGGTAGGTGGTTCTCATTTTTGTGCTATAATAGATAGTGCTGCTGTGAACATTCATATACAGGTTTTCTCATGTACATATGTGTTCATTCTCTTGGATACGTATCTAGGAGTGGAATTGCTATGTCTCATGGTTACTCTGTGTTTAACCTTATTAGGAACTACCTGACTATCTCCCATTTTAGATTCCCACCACCAGAGGATAAGAATTTCAGTTTCCGGCTCGGCGCCTATAGCTCAACCGGCTAAGGCGCCAGCCACGTACACCTAAGGTGGCGGGTTCGAATCCCCAGCCCGGACCCGCCAAAACAACAATG